AGATGCGATAAAGGCATTAGTTGATGCAAATCGGCGAATAACCACACGAGAGATCGGTGAGAGATTAAATTTGTCGAATTCGACTGTTTATGGCCATTTGAAAGGCATGGGCTTAACCTCGAAGCTCGATGTGTGGGTGCCCCATGTCCTTACCGAGCGAAATTTGTGTCGTCGCGTTGACGTGTGTGATTCGCTCCTCAAACGTCAAGAAAATGATCCATTTTTGAAGCGGATTATTACTGGGGACGAAAAATGGGTTGTATACAACAATGTTAAACGCAAGAGGTCATGGAGCAGAAAAGATGAACCGGCTCAAAGCGTGTCAAAAGCCAACATTCACCAAAAAAAGGTGATGCTCTCCGTTTGGTGGGATGTCAAAGGAATCGTTTTTTTTGAGCTTTTGCCGGACAATACAACGATTAATTCAGAAGTCTATTGTCATCAACTGGACAAATTGAATGATTCACTTAAAGAGAAGAGGCCCAAATTAATCAACAGGAAGGGTGTAGTGTTCCACCAGGATAATGCGAGACCTCACACAAGTTTGGTCACTCGCCAAAAACTTTTACAGCTTGAATGGGACGTACTGCAACATCCACCATATTCTCCAGATCTGCGGCCTTCCGACTACTATTTGTTCCGGTTCCTGCAAAATTTTTTGGATGGCAAAACCTTTACCTCAAATGAAGATGTCAAAAACCACCTGAACCAGTTTTTTGCCAGCAAGGACCAAAACTTATATGAGAGGGGAATTATGTTACTGCCAGAAAGATGGCAAAAGGTGTTGGACCAGAATGGCCAATATATAATTTAATAAAATATTTATTCATTATATGTTCCCCAAAAAAACGAAATGACTTTCCGAACAACCCAATAATTAAGTTGTGTATGCACCCTGTATAAAATGTCCTTCGCATCTCGTCGAACTTTAAAATTACAGCAAACATCGGTAAATATTAAAATTTGGACAAGCAATAGCGTTGTCGAATGGTATTTTTTCAAATATCTCACGCCCTGTATAAATGACGAAACCTGAGACTCTCTAACGACACGCTTTACGATACTGTTCAAATAAAATTATCCCATCTTTAACGGGTTTTCATTTATCGTAAATAATTTACCAACAAAAACGGATTTTTTTTGGATATTTTAGTTTTTTTGCCCATAAACGATACACCCTGTATATGATACAATCAGTGTTCGAAGTAGATGTTATAGCGTTATAGCCCTGGATTTTCCACGCGTCCTGGTTCAAGAATTTTTTGAAAATAGTAAATGGTTTTCGAGAAAATAAGTTTTTTCTGAAACCATGCAGGGCGCCGTAATAATCAATGACGTCATCACGTCTTGTCAGCCCCCGAAATATGGATTTTTTCTAGGTATATTAGGTTTTTGCCTATAATTTGAAAACGCTGTATATAATCGAAAAAATGTACGAAATAAATGTTTTTCTGGAAGCTGGAAGCTAAAATTACCAAAACAAAATTTCAAACATTTTTAAATAATGCTTGGTAAAATTTGATTGCACCCAATTTTTACCGTTTAAACGCGGAAACGGGCTTTTGCTTCTCTGCTACATTTGAAGTTGATATCTGCAAACTTAGGACACTTAACACATTTCTTATTAAGCACGGAATATCGAGAACATCCTGTACAATAGGTGAAAACCTTAATTACAAAAGTTTTTGTTGTCTATGCGGGCTATATCGCAATATAAAAGAAAGTGAGATTTTCAATAATATCGATTTAATCGATTTTCCAAGTGTCCAAAATTTAGTTGTCTGGACTCCAGAGCTTAAAGTTTAGCTTAGAGATATTTGTTAAAACACCAACATTGTATATTGTATATACATTGTATCTTTTGTTAAATGAAGATTTGGGAAATTATAATGTTCATTATGAAATGTCAGTTCTTTCTTTGAATAGCTGGTGAGTAAAACTTTTATAATTTTAGTCAAGGTAATTTATTTGTCTTCCAAATCCAAATTACAACACCTTTCAAGTACGCAAAATTGTTCAAGAGCCGCCAATATTGCCTCATGTTGCCACCAATATTTTCATCTCGATCCACGTCGAGTATTACCGAAACGGAAACAATCCTCCCCGATTAATTCATCCCCCCCTGCCCCTCATCACTATAACCAATACTTCCTGGCGTCCATCGCTAATCGACGCGTTTAAAGTGCATCGACGTGCTGTATTTGCATATTCCTATCTGGTTATTCATGGGTACATAAATTCGCTAATGATATAATTGATAACATGTGCATAACATTTCTCGCCTAAGTGGCCGAAAGCAGGAGCATAGCGCCCTCCGGCGGCGGCCCGGCGAAACCTAATCGGATTATGCGCGGGGATTTGGGCGGGCAAGCGATGATTTCGGTGATAGCGGACGCTGATATTTAAAAATGGCTCTTTCAAAATGCCGCCTAGAGATGTCAAACAATTCAGACAGGAGTCACGATGCAACATTAAAAAATTGGTCTCAATTACTGACCTCCCTGTGTGCTTAATTACTCAAAATAACCAACCCAGTGAAATAGGATTCGGTTTTTTTTTCTGGCGAAGGAGGTCAATTTGTCCCCTTTAATACTTCGAAAAGAGGAAGCCTCGGCGAGGTTATTATTGCCATAAGTCGAAGAAAGAAATTAACAGAAATATCCTTTGCTCAATAGATCAAAGGCGATTCGGTTTAATTTATTTAATATTATACATCCGGTGCGCAACTAATGACCTCTTTAAGGTTGGCTCCCAATTTTTCCATTAGTCATTGGGACCCAAATTCGGGTGTCAGGTATGGGGTTAGGGAGTCAAATACTTCTTCACCATTCAGAAGACGTCACGAGTCCGACACCATGACGTCACCATGGATGAAAAATATTGACAAAAACGTTCCTCGGCAAGATCCTTTCGTTTCCTTTCAATATTAACCCATGCCTACTTAATTTAGGCTCCATCCATACTATGTGTTACTTCACCAGGCTGTAACGATGCAGGATTATGTAGACCATTTCTTTTTGACCAGCTTCTAAATGGTGAAACAACCATATTTGGATTTTTGGTTTGTCTCTATTGGTTTGGGAATATTTGAACTTAACGTTTCCCAATAGGTGGATAGGCAGGGGAAGTATATTTAAATGGCGAGAATGAAAATTAAAATAAGTTTATGCAGTTCATGGCGTTGGAAATCATGAATAAGCATGAATAATTCTTTCTAACCTAATTTCCTCACACTCTTTACTATAAATTATCATTCTGTCATAGTCATTGTTTCTATTATACCTACGTAAAAAAGGATTTTTAATTTAATTTTTATTTATGTCTCAGAGGGGAAAAACGATATTGCCATGCGGTGTCTACTACTCGCTGTGTTCTTTTACACGCTCTTTCATCCTAACTAAAAATAATTATACCATTAAATTTTTGAGAAAATCATAAAAATTAACAGTGTGATATTGAGATGCCGGTCGAAGCTCTTATAAATAATCTTTAAAAATAAACTAAGTTCGTCTAAATCGGTTTAGCCAAAAAAAGTGATTCAACTTTTTCTAAACTGATATTTGACCCTTCCCCCACCCTTAATTTGACGAGAGAGAGAGAGAGAGACGAGAAAAAATAGTTCAAACAAAAAAGTTTATTTATCTAGAGTAGATTACGTTAAAACTAATTTTGATATAGGTTAATTTGGAATATTTTTGCGAAAACCCGTTTTTCCTATTTTACAGTAGCCCCATAGTGGCCATTTTATGAAACTAACCAAATTTTTGGTGTTAGGTGTGGGGTTGTCCAACATCCATCCGCTACCATGACGTCAAATGGTAGAAAATTATTGAGAGAAACATTATTTCATAATTTAGTCATCAGTTCAATCGTAATTTAGATTAATTTATTTTATCCTAAGAATTCCATTAGTGCGTGTCTTTGAACCTAAATTTTGGGTGTGGGGTTAGGATGTCAAATCGACGCCGGCCAATAGGAAGCGGCCACGCGTCCGCCACTATGACGTAACAACGCCTTCCCCCGGCACGTTTGGCGACGAAGCAGCGTCTGCCAGAGACTACCGCGTAATTAAACAAGTGTAGACACAGCGAGCGTATCGTTTGAAGCCGCGGTAGCGAAAAGAGGCCGGAGAGCCCCCCCGGGCGAGCAAAAAAGCGCGCGGGGAGAGCGGGAATTGCAGCTAAACAGTCATATTTCAACTTTCAGTTATTTCGGCATTTATCTGTTGGTAACAATGTGGAAGATCAAAGCGCGCGCTTTGTTGTTTGTTAAGTCTTATTTCTTTGTTTGAGAAGTTGAGAGGCGTTTTGAACTTTGGACCGTAGAGGGGAGGGCGGGCGGGCGATCGTGGAGGGTGGGCGACGGAATTTAGCATTGTTCGAAATAATATACAGTTGCGACGGACGACGTTTTGGGCATTAAGAATAAATATTAATATTTATTAAATAAAAATTCGAACAAAAGCACATTCAAAAGAATAATTCATAAAATCGTGAAAATAAAAAATATAACTAGCTTTCCTTCCAAATAGCACTAGTTGATAACTGGTAAAAATGCTAAAACCTTTAACACTGAATTTTTTCACTTGCAATATAACATTTGAGGTTCAAGAGGTTCAAAAATAAGAAGAACTAGGCCCTAGTCAAAACATTGAAGGGAAAACATTGGAAGTATAGAAGTCGCTAAAACCATAAGCAACGTTGTTTCAAAAAAAATGAAGGAAAATAAATGTCATTTTAAAATTTATTAGAAATTTTGTATTTGTTTAAGTTTTTTTTTTGTCGAAAGTAGACACGTTGTAACTTCTAAGTGCAATGTTAGGTTTTCTGTTGTTTGTCGTTAGTCCCAAAAAATTATTTTAATGTTTTGTAAAATTCTATGGAAATTTAAATAGGCCTTATTTTATAACAAACACGACCGCCCCTACCGGCAGTTTGAAGAAAGCTCACTAGCATCTCGAATTTCACTACCATTAAGTCAATATTACGATTTATCGGCAGGAACATACAGAAAAACCTTGCCCCTTTTCCAGCAAATATATTTACATTTTTTGTTTTTGACAATCGAATGACGTCACTGGTATTCACCATTCGAGCACGCCTGGAATGTACTTGTCGATTAGTTTCTCGTAATACGGCCAGAGGGCTTCGATGTCGGGTATTTCCGCGCCTTTCGTGTACAGGTCGTACTGACTGCAAAAAAAAGATTGTTTTTCGAAAATTTGTTTACCCACCCAGCTTACTTGAAAAGGAGAACCCATTTCAGGGTATTGTCGCGGTCTTCCTGGTTCGTTAAGTGCTCGTAATCGCCGCTTCCGTGCCAAGGATAAAAACTATGAAACCTGATGATGTTCAACGCGTGAGGAGGAAGTTTCGATTTGTTGTGACGCAACATCCTGTACAGGTACTCGTCGTGGCCCCAAGAGAGCAGAACGTTCTCCAGGCCGCAGTTCGGTTCGTAGATGCCGTATTTTGAGCTGCAGGGAAATCAAAAAGAAATTTATTTCAAATTCTCAATCTATTTTAAGAAACTGTTGTTATACAGAATGCGTCGTAAGTTAACCGTGACACATACATGTAATCCGCTGAAAATTGTAGTGTTGAAAGTGACACTCAGTCTGAGTACTTTTAAATATTTTGTTCGTTAACTTGTGGTTTTTCCTAAATGTTCACGTCTATTGACCTTTATCTTCTGTTTGTTTAAAGTCTACCTGTACTTGGTCTATCATTATTGAATTTATTTATTTTATATATTTAAATAATTTTGTCTTTATAATTTTTTACAAATATTTTCGTCTTCAAAATATTAAAAATAACTTTGTCTTTCTAATTGAAAACATCTTTGTGTGTAAAATATTTTGGAATATACTTTTGTGTTGTGTAAATTGTATTTTTTAAATAACACAATTCTTACAAAACAACTTTGCCTTTATAATCTGTTACAACTACTTTTTTCTATATATTTTTGAATTTTTTTATAATATTTTTGTTTGAGGTATTTTTAAAAAAATGTATATGCGTATGGAGCAACTGCTTAATGATTTCAAATTTCATTTGATTGAAACAATATTATTGCAAAACATATCAATTTTGCTAAGTTATTACAGCTATTTTTGTCTTCATTTTTTTTGTAATATTTTTGTTTTAGTAATTTTTTTAAAAAAAGTTTTTTTTTTGAATCTCCATTTTTTTTTAGACATTCCGGCATTCTTTGACCGCCCCGGCGGGGTGGTATTTTGTGACGTGGCGAAGTTTGGCGATGAAGAATATCTCTCTTTAAACGGGCGGGATCCAAAATGGCGTGAAAGCTGACACGATAGCGGCGGGTCTTTCCCTCAAAACCTCGCATCGCCACCAGGCAGCCCTTATCCGAAAATTTGTTTTGGCAGAGATTAATTATTAGAGGTAACGCGGGCGTCTTGTACCGCTCCTTATCGCCGCCCCTCACAACCTTTCGTCGCGGCAAATTTTCGTGTTTAATGACAAAATGACAAAGTTTCCATGTCTCGAAGAAGTTCCCGCACGTTTGAAACGAAATTAGTTGCGACGAGCGGCCCAACCCCCATCGGAGCCGTTAATTATTATTAATTTTTTTCGTAACTACTTAAATGTTAAACTAAATTATGATATTGAAATATTGATATTGAAAATATTGAAATTAATCGGGACGCCGCTGCCTGAAACCCCAAATTCGAGTTTCCGTATTATACAGCGCTCATATTGTGACTAAAATATGTTTTTCTACTCCCGTCTATAAAATGCCTAATTACAAACCGATCTAGCGTACCGGAAGCGTCGCTTTACTACGTCGATTTCGTTTCCCACGGATCCGAACCACTTCGGACATTTCCGGGATTTTACCGCACGGGTTTGGGAGCGATCGGATGTTTTCGGGGATTTTACCGCACGGTTTGAATGTCGACGTTCGTCAATCCTGGCAGTCATGTCAGTGAATGTATTCCTAACCAAAACTAATACCCAGAAAGATATTATGCAATATATCAGACAATTTAAATACTATGTGCTACAAGCTACAATTAAAATCTAGTTAGTGGACTAGTCGGTAAGTAAAGTGGCATTTATAATTTAAGTTTCCAACAGAAATATTACAAACCGTTCGCATCGACTTTTTTTACAGTTTTTATATTAATATCTTGCGAAGACCAATTGCACCATTTTCAAATATCCATGTCTCATCAGTACAAAGAAGACCTGCTACACGATCTTAAAAATTTAATCTTTATATATATTTATACCCGTATTTATTGAAATTTTTCGTAACACTTGTTATTAATCATATACAAAAATAAATTAAATTATCTCTGCCACCCTTTTATGAAAAAACTAACCAAAACATTTTGCAAGCATTACAACACTATTATGCCATATAAAATTGTGTATTATATCTTATGTTCATTCAAAAATGTAACCCTATTTTAATTAATTAGTTAAATAAGAACAAACGTTGTTCAGATTTTCACAAAAATATATTTAAATGACAGTTGTTTCGCCAACACCGTGCCTTTATCATATGCGAATATCAAACGATACCGATGTTTATAAATACAAAACAGGTAGTAATTACTTAATATGAGGTATTAAATTGAGATTTAACAAGGGGATCCATTCAAATCCAGTTGGTCATTAAGTAATACATTCGAACCTCTCATCTTATTATTCTCCATAGCTTATAGTAAATTTAATTTTCTACTTTTTGAAACAGTGTGTAAAATATCGAAATTGTCGTCAAAATTGTGTTTTTCTAAATTTAAATGTATAGCGTAATTAGAAACGGGATTTGAATGGATCCCCCTTGTTAGATCTCAGTGAAATACCTCACATTAAGTAATTACTACCTGATTTGTATTTATAAACATCGGTACGGTTTGATATTCACATTTGATAAAGGTACGCCGAAACAGCTGTCATTTAAATATATTTATGTGAAAATCTGAACAACGTTTGTTCTTATTTAACTATTTTAAATGGATTTTCATCAAGCAAAAGCCACTTTAGTACAATTTAATTAATCAATCAATTAATTTTAATTTTTAATTACTTATATTTAAACTTGTAACTTTCAAAACAAGATTGCTTTCAAAAAATCGTCGCCGGGCGGGGCAACAGCTGTTTAAAATTAAAATTTTAAATTTAAATTTAAAAAAATGTAATTTTATTGTGCACGCACCCTGGATGAAGTATTATTCACATCTTGGAGAACTTCAAAGTCACGGCAAACTTTGGTAAATTCAAAAATTTTTACAATTAATAGCGATTCCCGATTATATTTCTTAAAATAGCTGGCCCACCCTGTACGATAGACGAAACTTGAAACTCCCTCCCGACACTGTTTAAACCAAAGTATCCCATGTTTTATAGTTTTTGATTTACCCACGAAAACGGCAATTTCCAGGATCCTTTGTTTTTTTTTACAAATAATCGACACACCCTGTACATAATCCAAAAAATGCCGCAAGTAAAAGTTGTCGCCCTAGATCTCCCACGTTTCCCGGTATATGAATTTTTTCAATAGGATAAACAGTTTTCGTGAAAATACCTCTTTTCTGAAACCAGGCAGTACACCGTAAAAGTGAATGACGTCATCGCGTCTAGATTGAGTGCGATTTTCAAATGAATTTTTCGCGTTATTTTATTGCTCCCAATTTAAAAAGTCTAAATGCGGGACCAGACTTTTACTTCCCTCCCAAGTCTGAAGTTGGTAGCTGCGGACCCATTTTTCAGTTTTTTTGAATTTGTAGCGCACCCTGTATATTTTTGAAAAATTGTCAAGAATGAAATTTTACGGAGTCTCTGGTTCAAGACTTTTTTCGTTTTGTAAACGGTTTTTGAAAAACAGTCTTTTTTGTAGACCCTTGCACACGCGATTTTTATTTTTTTAAAAATACTTCCCGACCAATCAGCCCCCCCCCATTTTTAATATGTTCCGTCAAGGGGCAAAGCTGCATATATGTGCCAAATATGAAGTCGATTGCTTCAAATTTCGGACACTTATCGTGTTTCATAGCAATGTCCAAAGAACTGTCGACAATCGCGAAAAAAAGATGGATACCGGCGTCGGATCAGGGCCATTTTTTATAATCTTATGTGCCCCGTGGAGAATCAAAAACGAGTCAAATTTTAATTTTGTAGCTAAAACGGTTCGAAAGTTATTCAGGAAAAACCAAAAGATGAGAACGGAGAACGGACAGACAAAAACAAATTTTTTTTCGACGGAGATCGTTTCTGTACCAACGGCGATCTCATAGGACCTACCGTTACCGAGATATAAAATTTTTATACGAGCGTAGATACTTTCTAAAAATTCGATTTCATCGTTTTTTGAAAGTTTTGTTTATGTTGATAGTTTATAGATTGTTTCTTTTGGATCTCCTTTTTAATCACGCTTAGACAAAATTTACTCACTTGTATTTGGGATTATTTCCGTCAGGATTGTCGTGGAAACTTGTCGCCCTGTAGACAATATTGTCGGACCACTGGCACCCAACGACAAACGTGTCACCGACGGTCGACCATTGAGGCTCGCCGTAAAACGCCATAACCTGCGATGCGAGAAATGGATTTGTTGCCAAGAGACGTCAAAAAACAAAAATATTTAACTCAAGGAGAGCTCCAAAAATGTTTACAATGCAAAACGGTGTTCTATAGTATAAACGGAGGCAGAGAACGAATTGTTGGTTAGCTTTGGCTGGACGTACGGCGGTGCCAGATTTATGTCCGTTTCTTTAAAGCAAAAATAACCTACGCAAGTACTCAGTAACCACAAAATACAACAAACAAACAATAAGTTTTGATTTTTATAATATTATAATAATTTTACTTCAACTATGCGTAGTTTTATGAATGAATAACTTGCGAATATCATTTGCTTAAGAGTTATTTGTAATATATATACCTTTCCAGCATCGTGTATGAGACCGGTGAGTTGAAGCCATTCTTTATCCGGATGTTCTTTCCTTATTCTCTCGGCGGTTTGGAACGCGTGGACGATGTTGGGAATGTCCACGTCAGGATCCGATTCATCGACGAGGTCGTTGAGTCTGATTAACGCATCTTTCATCGACGATTTGAACGTATCGAATTTGCACCACTGGTTTATTTTTCCTACGAACAGAAGTTGAGTTGGTTGCCTATGCTCTTAAAGACATATCCATCTATTCTTGAAAAAAGGAAAACATGTTACTCTCCGGAAGATTTCCATCCAATAAAAAATTCTCTGAAAACTAGAAACACATGAACTCAGAGAATAAAAGTGAGACAGGGAAAAATGATTGGATGTCCCAAATTTTTCAACTACTACCAATAAACGTCGGAAATTTTATATCACTCATAGTATATTTTTCTATTATTTTGATAGTTAACTGCGTACAATATTCGAAAAATTGGTCTTAGAACCCTAGTTCGCAGGGGGACAAGTTTTACCCCTTTCATATTTTTAGCGTCATAACGACTTTTCAAATTTCGCATTCTATCCTTTTTAGGTGTCATTGGAATAAACTTTAATTTTTCAACGACATTTTCACAGTTTTCGAAATTTTTTATCCCAAATATATTAGATAAAACTTGGAACCGAGGTAACCTTTTTTAATATATAATTATTTAAAAAGTCCAGGGTGTCCCAGGAGCTGATTAACTCAACAATATCTTTATTGATAATTTTCATTGATATTATAATGCCCCTCCGCTTTTGAATATGCGACGTATGATATCATTTTACGCAAACGTTAATATAACTATAACAATAATGATGCAATATGTTTATAGTTGGCACGAATTTAAAAATAAACACAGCAATAAATCTCCCACGTTTGCGAAATTTTTTGATGAGACTGCAAAAATTCACTATCTCACTACAGCAGCGCAATAACCAAAAATTTTCGTTTTTAATTTTAATTTAAAATTTTCACGGCCTTAATCATTTTTTTTTTGTTTTAAATTCAAAAAATAAGATAATTCGATCACTTAACTCAGTACTATGGGAGAAGAACATACGGAAGACAACAAAAAAACGAATGTACTCTTCCTTTGTGGAAAGTTTGACATTATTCGGAGCGGAGATCTGGAATCTGAATAGAAACAATAAAAATAGATTATTATCTACAAAAATGGATTTTTGGCGGAGAAGCTTGGGCGCAACACGATTAGAAAGAAAAAGAAACATCGATGTAAGAAGAGAAATGCAAATAGAAAAAGACATTATAGAGGAAATAGAAAGGTGACAACTGGTATGGTTTGGACATGTAAACAGAATGACAGATGATAGATGGCCAAAACGAATTTTAAAATGGACTCCCCCGCAGAGACGAAAACGTGGTCGACCAAAGCGCAGTTGGAGAAACGAGGTGGAAGAAGCAATGGCAGCTAGAAATATTAATCCGGAAACCTTTTTATATATATATATATATATATATATATATATATATATATATATATATATATATATATATATATATATATATATATATATATATATATATATATATATATATATATATATATATATATATATATATATATATATATATATATATATATATATATATATATATATATATATATATATATATATATATATATATATATATATATATATCTCACGTATTGATTCACGGATGGAAAAATGTGATGACACTATATTCCGGGATATCATCCGTTCGCTCGTTGAACTCCGACTGGAATCCTGCATCCGACTGGAATCCTGCAAATCCTGCATCCGACTAGAATCCTGCAGATGTTTCGCCAAAATCTCACTTGGCATCTTCAATGCTCGCGCTCCGAAAACACTTCGAAGTGTTTTCAACGAGTTCAACGAGCGAACGGATGATATCCCGGAATATATTGTCATCATATATATATATATATATATATATATATATATATATATATATATATATATATATATATATATATATATATATATATATATATATATATATATATATATATATATATATATATATATATATATATATATATATATATATATATATATATAAATTCTTTTTTTAAAGATTATTCAAATGTTATTCAAATTTTTGATCCCTCTTTTGGGAATCGCCTTCATCAGCAGTATAGGAAATCATTGTTTTTTTTTTTGGAATTGAATTGAATTGTTTAAGTGTGTTACTGATTTGGCGTTTGCAGAAAAGTTAGCGTTAGGTAATATTTGTTACATAATTTCAATATATGTTTTAAAAAAATTGTCACAGTGGCAATAGTTTTCTCTTCTTAAGAAAAGTTTTCACTTTTATATCATTTAAAATTAAATTTAAACTTAAATAAATTTATTGCCCAACAATTAGAGAACAAATAATAACAGAAATTAATTAATATCTAGAAGCAATAAAGTCTCTCTCATTTAAGCAGTATTGAAATACATATCACAAATTAATGTAATCTGTATCACACTACGCAGTAACTCTATTGTAATTTGTACTTAATATATAAATCCGATTGCTAATTGCTAGGGGTTTTCACATAAAAAGTTATATGTTAAAATTCGTGATTCGTGGGAATCCAATTGCTGGAGTAGATTGATCGAGTCGATCTTGTTATGGAGGGTTTTATATTATATTACTGGATGTGAATCTTCGCTGTTCCAGTGACTGGAAATTGAACTTACGTCGCCATTGTTCATTGGCAATTTCTCGATCCGGATAACTATCTTCAATTCTAAGATGCAAAACTTTAAAAACCTACGCTATACCATCTCTATAGCATCAACGTGTAAGATATAACTTAGATACCCTATTATAGACGCGTATTCCAGTATAAATTTAATCACTGAATTCCTCAGGCTGATGGAGTCATCAACACCAAAATACTACTTTTTAGTAAGTAAAGGACCCTTCGTCATTAAAAATTTTACTATGAAAATGTGATTAACCCAAACGGTCGTTTTGTCCGATTTCGCCAATTTTAATTTGGTCAAATTAATGCCCCGTGTCTTCCAATTTGAGCCATCACCCCGTCAAATATTTATGTTTAAAAAACACCCTACAACCGCCTACCCTTGACGTAGTCCACAGTTTGGTGAGTGTGCATCTTGAGGTAAGTCTGACGCACCCTCTCTTGAATGGGGTCGCTCAAATCGACCGAATAATCTCGGTAGTTTTCTTTGGCCGCGAATTTGGGTTCCGGCCTGTGCAGTTCTGACGGATCTATAAGCCCGATAGGTTGGTCCTCGTTAACCTAGGAAGAGGTTTTCAATAAAAAAAAAAAACGCAACCAGCTTCAAAAACTATTACCTTTACGACTTTTACTTTCATTTTAACTCGTGTCAATCTTTCCGTCAGGGTAAACCAGCAAATGTGTGGTCCTCATATGCGGCGGAGCTTGCTTGTAGGTGTTATCAATTGATGTGGAAATTTTAACCCCGAGATAATAGGTTTATCGGCGTGATAGGTGTACGAGGGGCGTTTAGAAAATTTGTTGGTAAACAAAAGAATATAATGGGTTTTCCAGGTGTCCAACGATCCTGATTGGCTAAAATAGACGATGTTAAGTGTCAATACATAAACCCCAATTACGACGGCGGTATAAATCGACAACCAATCGGCAAATCGTTTCAACCAAGCGGCGATCAAAAACCAACATGGCCGCTGGCACTTGACATTCCATAGCATGGCTTCAATGTTCAGGCAGTTGAACCAAACAAAACTCTCGTGCTTAAAAATTTAAAAAAAACCAAACCAGACAGCACTTTTTAATGAAGCTTGTTTTATAACAGTAGATATGAAAAACATAAGTTTTTTCATGGATGCCCTAATTTTCCTTTATCCTATGTTGTGAAAATATTAACTATGGTAAGAATTGTTTATTCCACAAAATAGGTAAATAAAGATTTAAGGGAAAATAAAAAAACTTGAAAAAAAAAACAGACAAATCCATGTATTTCATGTATAATTTTAGGTTTTCTTTATTATTGTACCTACTTTTCACTCGTGTATTCTGATATGCTTTAGTAACGTCTTCTTGTATCCCTCATTTAATTGTTTTACTTTTTATTTTTATTTGAAAAACTCTCAAACTATATCAATGGCGGTGAGATATTTTGTTAAAAGTTTAAAGTATACAGCACCGGATCTTTTGAAGCAACTATGAAAAAATTTAGAGAAAGTCCAGTCAACATGCGCATGCGGTAGTCAACAACCAACCAACAGTACACAGTCTCACGCTGCTGGGGTTGTAGTATTCTGTGATAAAATGTTCTTCTTCTTTTCTTCCCTTATCCGTAGATGCTTGCTTATTTAAACAGACAAACTGGCCGAATGATCCTAGCAATCTTGGCCACCAGAAGTAAAAGAAGAAGAAGAAGAAACAGACAAACATCCTTTTGTCCACAAATAATGTAATATAGGTCATGTTAACCAGAATCACTCGCCCATGATGAAAAACCATTGAACTTTGACGTTACACTCGGCGGATCAAATAACTGGTCACGGAGATATGATGAAATGAAATAAGGTTCCACATATATTTGCGTGAAACACGTACAGTGGAAGCGGGTAATTATATTTATGCAAAATGGATATCGTATTTTTCCCCTAGACGCAATTAATATATTAACCGGCTTAGAAAAATAAACGCGAAGGCAAAATATGCATATTTTCGCAATTATACCGGGCTGCTTTGCGCGGCGTGCAATCCAAACCAAGGATAATAACGACGACTTTTACGAACGCGATATTTAGAATAATAAATATTAAAGACATTTAACCGCAGGAGCGCAGTAATATTTACAGAGCAAAATAACATCAGAGATCCCACTGTGTAAGTTTTGGGCACGTGTGCGGCACAGAATAGAAAGAAAACAGAAGACTGACTCTCCCAAAAGTCCATCACAAATAGATAGAACGTAGAGCCGTATTAAATAAAAACTGTGTCGCCAGTTCAGATTTTCTTGACATTGTCATTTTTTGAATAGTTCTTTCGCTACTACTGAGGAGTAAAATGGTTCACCATAGATGCATACAACCAATAGCAACTTTGTTATATCTTTATTTTCAGGTTAGGCAAAGTTTCTTGCGTAAACTGGGAATTGTCCTTCTGGTTGCCCGCTTTATGGTCTTTAATATCGGGAAACTAATATTAGTTTTGGTTAGTAAAAAGAGAAAACTAATATCAGTTTTTATGGTTAACGTTTTGGGAAATGGAATTGTTTTTTCATTAGTAACGGACAAACAACCTTCGGGGAAAATCCCGCTCGCTAAACAATACAATTCGGGCTTCGCTTATTTTCAATTTTCCACGAAATTGCCGATAAACAAAATTAACCAAAACACACACATATACACACACGCACAAAACGCAAACGTCCGTAGGAAAAAAAGAGGGTAAGCAGACATTGAAAATATTTACAAAACCGGAATGTACATGCAGGCCGCAACAGAGTACGGCTAAATAAATCATTAAAAAAAAACGCTTTCCCATACACACGCAATCGCATCATTATTGGTTTGTAATAAGCACCGGTATTGCGGCGCGGGGGGGTGCCGAATCGGATTTTGCTGTATCGTTCGTTAACTGTCATTGGCTTAATTTATTTATCACGTGCAATGACGCGGCGTAACTAATTGTCGACGCTGTGGGAAAACCGAAGACGTAAGGAAATAACTCAAAAACTTCAAAAAAAAAGAAACAATTTCATTTGTAATAATAACGAGTGGACAACCAGTAAAACACCGCACTGGCTTTAACCACAAAAGTGAAATTGTATTTTGAGGCCATCTCCCTAGACATATTTCAAGTATTTTTAAGGTCATATTTAAATCGAAACTAAAAAAATGCTTTAAATGAATTGTTAAGAAAAATTGCTCGCCAGTCTTTAATTAGCAATCTAAAAAATTAAATAAAAACAAATGTTTAATTTTTTTGTGGTGGCGCCATCTTTCAGGCAGTGCGAGAATTTCAAATTAAAATATAGTTTTCCACTGTTTGTTTGATCGCAATAAAAATAGCCACCTGTACACGATAGATTTGTATGTGTGTGCCATCTATACGTCGTCGGACGAAGTTTGTAGTGCACTTTCTTACCAAAAGACCGCTAGTTATGACCAATATGTTAAACTTTTAAATACAAACAAATCAGGCTTCGTTTGTCGGAATAAAATTCGCTTAAAATACTGATACTATTAAAAACTGATCGTGGTTGAAATGGATCGGTGTCCAGATTACTTGATGAAACATCCGCATAAATATGCAGGAATTTATAGAAGTCCGGACAAAATTAAGAACTTCAAAATAAAGTAATTATGTTTTCCCTGTAGATGTGGACGACCCAATTGCTTTATATATTCTGTTTAGACTAACATTGTGGAAGATAACGGATAAGCCAAAAAAATCCGCGGAGAAGCTAGAGGAGAAGGTATTTTCCTGGCAAGAGAAATGCTTCAGCAGGCATCACCACCAGTTCTATCGGGACGAAAGAAATTGTGTTACAGATTTGGATAAACGATACTTTAAAATATTAAATGAGATGAATGAAAGTAACGATAACTCCTTATTTTCTTACGTTAACGAAGATCGTTATGATATACCAAACGACAGGGTCTGTTGCTAATTATAAATAAAACAACACAAATTGAAACTTGTCCTTTATTACTAGACAATCAAGACAAATAATTATTTAAAAAATATATTGGATGGTTCTGGTAAGTTCAATGACAGTTTGCGTGAGGAAGAATATGATTTCCATTCGCATCTGTTGGAGTCAATGCAATACCCGGTAATCATCAGTGATTTGGAAAGGATGTTTTTAATGGTCGATTTGGGGTAACTATGTCCGCGGATTTTTGATCTCGCACTGGCGTTGTTTATTCTTAGTGAATCTTTAGGCAATACTTGGATTCCAAATGAGGTGCTTTTATGCGCAATTAAGTACAACAAAAGGACAAAATGTCTTACGGTCGATCCCGATTTTACCACTACAATGCCTTACCGTTCCGAGATCCCTGCGCCAGAAGATATAAAGTACTGTTTTTTTGTTGAAAATTATTCGCAAGATATACCCGAAGCTGTCGAGTTAAAAGAAGACGCCATGGTTAAAAAGGTAAATACTTAATTTTATATTTCCCTCACTGGTCACCTAAACATTGAATTATTTATTATTGGTACTTCTTTCTTGCCCAAAATATTCATGAATTTTTTGACCAATTTTCCAGATTAGTAGCCTCAAAATGTCGCTCCAGTATGCAGACTTGGGCCGGTTCGAGTTGCCCCCTAAAAATAAATTGCTCGTTTATCTTTTCTTCGACATTAATTCAGGACTCGGCTTCGAGTATCCCGACTTATTTGTCGAGTATTTTATAGATTTGAGGGGAGAGTGGAAATGTCAAAACACGAAAGATTTGAGGGGCCGCACCCAGATCTGTAGGTCGAAGGGTAAAGGGAGTACAGTGCACTTTGGGCATTGCATCGAACTGGTGCTCCACTGTAACATTCAGGAATTGGAAAGGGCGGGTAATTATACATTGAGAGGTACCTTAAAATTGTTTCATTCTGTATCTTGTAGAGACCCTGAACTCGCCATATATATACTTTGAGGTTATCTCGAGGGACTCGTGGGAACGGCACCGGACTGAAGGGTTATGCTATCGAGGCATCCCTTTAGGGACTGCTGGTGCTTTCACTTTCACGTTACACTGTATTCGATTTCTTCCTGATAACATTCTCGGGCGGCTCAGGAGATCTTTCATTGGCGACTACAAAAATTATAACGACTTGACGTGGATCGGAATTCCGCAACAATTCCAGGGTAAGGTTCTGAATAAGTTTGGCACGAACACACTCACCACTGGCGAGTTAAATGTGAGGCTAAGTGTCTTACATCAGTCGCAAGCTTTTCTGGAAGGACTTGGTGACGATTCGGGACTGATTTTTAATAAACTAAAGTCTTCGGGATTGATAAAAAGCGTCGACGAAGTACTGCAGGCGTTCAAACGAGCGAGGCGGCAGATGATGGAAGCCAGGAAGAATTTGTAGGTTTATATCAATAATAAAACCCTTTGAAAATAGTTTTATATATGTTAAAAAAATGTATTTACCAGAAAAACTCAACTTTTTATAATTGCGTCTATAACTATTACATAAAACAAAATGGATGTTTTTTTTTAATAATAGTATAAATACGGTTATGCTCATTCGTCTTTTCTCAACAAAACCAACAAAATACTTGCTTATTTCTACATTATAATGCAGAAGGATAACAACATGGATGCACGATGTTACCATAAAGCCAACAGCATTCAATCAATGCCGAACATGCACAGAATAGAACGAGAAAACTTGTTTTTTCTCGGGTGGGCTAGACTGCTGTGGTTAAGCGCCCATGTTCTGGTATCTGCCAAGGATTTTTCTTTTGGTTGCGTTCATTCATCTCTCCTTTCTTGAAGCTGCTACATAGGCAATTTGCTAGCACCAGTGGTATTTTTTTGAGAAATGTCAGATAAACATCATTGTAGTATCTGGGATAGCACGTAAACCGGCCAAAGCAGCGGATAACACCGTCCCAGAATAAACACATTTGGGGACGCAACTAACCAACGGTAACGAACTTGGCAACACCATCAATTCTTATGACGCAAATATTCCCAAATGCAATGTAATTTCTATAGACAAACGTACCTTTTAATCTCTTTTTCATAAATTCTTTGAATAAAAATTATTCATTCTTTCTTAACTTTTGGCAAATGGTTATCGTAAAGCGCAAGTGTCTTGCCGGAAATGTCCGACATCGATTCGCGTACGTTCGGGTGCGATCTCAACCTTGGCCTCTGAATTTTATCGATCACCCATGTCGCGTTACAAGTTTCTTGCAAATGCCAATTTAATTTTATTGCTGTGGGGTTTCTTTTCCGCTTTGAAATCCGGACCGACGTTGTCAGATTGTCATATTTTCTTCATTCGGTTTTACGTTGGCACCCGCTGCTTACCTTATCTAACCCGGTATGGTTTCCGGACAACGACGAGGCGAGACAGGGATTGGCAAAGGGCATTAATGCAGACAGATGGAATAATAAACGAATAATTAAATTTTGCATAACGTGTAAAATTAAGCAAATTTTGCGTTATCGTGCAAGGTGCAAATAAGCGAGTAGGTTAACTGTTGAGTGTCAATAGTAAAACCGGCAACGTTGCTGAAGAAAATAACCTTTCCGCCCACACGGCAGCAGGCGGATCTTTTTTTAACCAGGTCCCGAGAGAAAGGATATTCTGTTGGCAGTTTTTATATATGGACTTTCTCAAGAACATAAAAATGTTCAAAACTAACCAACCAAAGGCAGATGGCAGACCACAGCCGCTTTTGTTGCTTCCCACTTCTATTTTCTTTAGACAAATTGTTGGTACCTGAGTACTTGCTACCTGGTCGATGCGATTTCAGGAATTATAATTTAACTAACGTTGACTGGTCATTGTCTTTAGTGTATCGATTTATGATGTATGAGGTGTCGTAATATTAGACGATGACTTAATCGGGTTCTTTATCGCTTTAAAGCTCATTGGGGACTTTAAAACAGATTAGATAGATTTCCGATTAGTTAGCGACATCTTAATTTAAAACTTTTTGTCTTTGCGCGCCCTCGTTTATCATGTCCCCTCTCCAGCAGCGTCGTGATGTTTAACACATGTATCAAAGTTAATGAAAACACTCCTCGAAGAGGCACCAAAACTTTACAGATTGGACGATAATTGTACGACGAGGAAAACAAACATTGTTTTGATTTTTTTGATCAAGGCCCTTGGATAACTTGAGTAAAAAGGTCTTCCCATGAACTATATTTTTAATGCCTTAAAATTATACAGATACCAATAAAATGATTAAAATGCCGCTTTTAATAGAGCGTCTATGTTGTGGCGAATGCGCCAGTCTGGAGAAACGTTAGCAAACGCCATCTTCTATTAATTCGATTTTTGCAAAAAACGCAATACCAGCCAGGATAAAGCAACATTATGATAACCGTGATGAAGATAATTTTGTAGCTGCGTGGACGTTTAAACCAAAATAAGCCCGATATTTTTTAACTCCTTTATATCGTAAAAAAATATAATCTCGTAAAGTTGATAAAATCTTGTCTGTCAACGAGCCCATTTATTAGTCATCGGCAAAAACGTTCACTAAACGTAACAATCCGAACGTTGGCTTACAACGTGGACTTTGCCCTCCAGGTTGCGCACAATTTACGGAAAAATTATTTTTTGATTTTGAGAAACGTGCACGCGGGTGTAGCAAACACACCCCACACCCGCTTTGTTCGAGCCTATTTCGGAGAGTAAAAGAATTTAAACCGAAAATTTGTTAGTCTGAGCTTCTGGCATATCCCCTTTAACATAACAGTGTTCTATCCATCTCACTCCGACTCATGCCGAACGCGGCGAAGAACGAAAAGGAAACGTCGCCTAATGGATTCTTCGTAACATAAAGTCAAAGACGTACGTTGTTTGTTTTACAAACTTTAGTTTTTCCAAGTTTTCGGTATCGCATCGACATTGTCGAGGGCGGTGGATGGCGTTGTCGGAACCGGAGCGTTTTTATGAAACCGCGGGTCCCGTTATTTTCGTCGCGGAATCGATGAAAACGTAAAAACAACGCGGAATCGCGCGACCGTTTCACCAACGCGATGCCATTGCGCAGGGCGTAGCTAGACTTGTACGCGCGGCAGCTCCGTCTCACTCTAACCAACCGACCACCCCTGTTTTTAGGAAGATAGATCGATCCGGACCTGTTTCGTGTAGAAGTTCTACCAAGATGTCGACGAAATGGCGCTTTTCACGATATAGTATTTGTATTTTCTGCGTTTAAAATCATCCCGGGGCGGCACCGGCCCGCAAGGATTGGTTTTCGTGTGGTTTTGTGCGCGAAAAAACTAGTGCGAACGTGTACAAAGAGTTTACGGCGTCCCATATGAAAATAACGGTTACTAAATTACCACGTTTTCGCTTGTAAATACGCGTTTTTATACTTTTTCGTCTCGTCGCGATTTTGTGATAAATAGATTCGATAAATTTCGGAATGAAGTAGGCCGGTGGACGGGGCGTTACGCAATATTATGACCGATAGGAAAAAATAACGGTGGAGGCTAGCAGCTTGGGGTCGCGTTTAGCGTGTGTTTTTTTTCTTCCTGCAACCAAATTACTCGGCCCTTCTGTTTTCTTTTCACGCGAGTGTTTGTGGCTTCGTTTCTGGCAATAGTGATGTGAGTCTCGGGTAAATCCATGTCCAATTGTGTTCAATGTGTATGATATGGAAGTACACTCCATGAGGTTAGATCATGGGCCTATACAGACTAATAACATGTCATACCCTCAACGACAGCCCCAGAATCACAGGTAGGTGATATTATTTTTTACGAGGCCGTTTTGTTAATTTAGTTGTCAGCCATTTTATCGAATTACCGTTTTGGCGGATCGGGTTTGAAAAAATGATGTTGCTCGATTTTTAAGGCTTTTCGCAGATAAAATTTCGCAGCGTTCGAAAATCGAGGGGTACGCAAACAGGTCGTTCTGTAGTTTCTGTACGTGCCTGTACCCGCTTATAGCTGAAAACGGGGCTTTCGAAAACCAAGCAGATGTTAATTTAAACATTAGTCGCCATTTTGTTGAAACGGTCGTTTTTAGCTTTACGCGGTTTTGCGGTAAAACCCGGTTTTATTTCTTTTTTCGAAAACTTCTCTGGGGGTGTTTTTTTGTCCGCAGTGCCTACTGCGATGCCCGTGCGCTTGCCGAACGGCAGATATTCGCCAGGCGGAGAAAATTTTCTAAGTGTTTCACCGAAAACAGCCCAAAACTTTAAAAATCTGATGCTCCGGTTCTAAGCGGCGCAGAAATTTGCGGTTTTCGACAAATTCATTGCGAAATGGTCGCCGAGTTTAGTCGAAGGTGATTTTGGAGTATTCGCGATGGTCTGATATATACGAGGCGATTCGAAAAATATTTTTCTTTAATAGTGTGCATCGCGTTTCAAAGCGATCCTTGCAATTATTAAAAGGAAAGCGTCGATGGATACAAACATAATATTATCGAGACACAATGGAGCTTTGAATTTTTTATGGGCCGCATCGGTCGATAGAATTTTCACGGGGTGATTTATTTATAACAATCTCTTCTAGAATCTCGTCGGGGGGTTTTTGGAGGCGTGGTCGCCACGCGGCGTTACCATTAGCTTGTGGAATTGTCAATATAGAAAAAAATCGATTTTAACTTTTTTTTGTTCGTGTAGGCGCGGTCACTTTTATCTAAAATTAACTCAAAAATAACTAGACGCTTGCTTATTTTTTGGAATTTATTCGGTATTGTCAAACTGTGGTGCAGCAAGCAAATCCCAGCTGCATGCCTGAAAAAAATTCGGATTGGTTTTTATAAATAAAAAGTACAAATTTGTTTTTAATAAAATTTGATTACCTAGTTGCATTTGTTAAACACGAGGTTAAATATGAAAATTAAAAGCAAAATGTCCTTAATACTAACAAAAAATTACACACAGGATGCTCCGAATTATACTGAGAGAAATTTTAACAGCCTATTCAGCAAATAAAAATAACTAAAAAAAATCCACTTTTCCTATTTTAATAAAATCTCTTCTATATTTTTATTTCGGACGTATTATTTTATTAATTTATTTGCAGATTTAGATTAACCTCAGATATTAGGTACGTATACAGGCAAAAAAAATATTTTTTTCTCGAAAACGGTTTTCCAGCCAAGAAAAGACGACCGTTTTTTGTTAGAAGTGATTAGGGTATCTACATTTATTAACAAAATTGCGATAAACCATTGGCGTACCACATTTTTATGATTTAAATTAATTAAAAGTGACTTGAAAGCAAAAACTGGCAAAGCTTTTTTTAATAACATTTTTTTAACAATAGTGCAACACACTGTACCTCCAAAAATTTAGGACTTATATGAATTTTTTACTTATTTTTAACTGCTGAATATATTGTTAATAGTTTCTTCATTGTATAATATAGTATAATACAAATTCCGAGAATTCTTATAAAAAATCTAATACTTTGGTAGTACATGTACAGGGTATAGCTCTTTAATGCGGGAATTATAGTCGAGTTTATTATTTGTGTATTTATTGTTTTTTGTGTTCGAAGTTTATTTTTATTATCTTTCGTTGATTCTTACGTTCCAAATTCAATTTTCCCGTTTTGATTTCGTAGTCTTATTAAACTGCATTTTTACAAAAAACAAAATTATCTTTTAGTGTCTGCCAAAGACTAAATTAAAATAGAAAATACAGAATAACAAGGGAATCGTTGAAAACAAGTATAGGAAAAACCGAAGGAAAAATATAGCCATTGAATGCATTAATTCTGCATCGGGCCATAAGTGTTTCTGTCTTTTTTAAAAGGGGTGACGAATTTTCGTTTCCAAATTGTTAGTGCCCACGTGTATAGACATCCAAATCCAAAGACCTCAAATCAGATGATCTAGAAAATCTTAACCACTTTAAGGTAAATAAAGCGATGTTTATTACAGCTCCCGTCTCATCATTCGCCATATACTGTTGCTTAAATTTAAATTTGGAATAAACTCTAGAAAAATCGTTGGGGACGTTATTAGAGAATGTAATACAGTAATAGTTCGATCGAAAAAAAAATTATAACTCTCAGGTGATCACTAATTCCCTGTATAATTATTCATTATGCCTAATTTTACGTCGCATCATTATATTCTTCAAAAATTTCATGACATCTTTCCAGACTGGCAAAATGAATTTCAAATTAGCCAGAAATATCATGGAAATGTCGGTGAATTTTGAATAATTTCATAACAATGTGTATGGAATATAGTTAAATTAAAATTTTTTTCATCAGAACTGTAAGTTACTGTTTAAAAACAGCTTCGGCCAGTGGCGTGCAAATTTTGCTGTTCGAGTAAAATACCAGTGCGCCGCAATCGCGAAATTCATATATACGGGGTGTCTGTTATTTTCAAGTTTTTTTCGTCGAACGTTTTTAGCTCCCCCCATGCCCTTGCCTCAATTAGCGAAGTGCATTATCGTTGTTCTGCGGGGTTCCAGAGTGGGGGGCGGGGTTTTTGTTACTTTGCCAACAACGCGCCGGGTCGCCGATATTAATGAATCCGGGAAGATAAATCGAAAGCCCGTCGCTTTTTTGTTTCCACGGTTTTTGACACGGTTCCAAATTCGCGTCGGTATATTGTAAACGCATTTTTGGATTTTGAAATCCGCCTGGGTTACGCAATCGGCCACCAAAAAAATGCGCGTATTCTGTCCTTTTTTTCCGCAACTACCTACCTACCTACCTACTACCTATTGAATTTCCTAAAGGTCTTAACTTAAGCTCGATAAAAAGTATATTTAAAAAAAAAAGGTATTTAATAAATCGAAAACGAATTTTTGTATTAAGAGAACTCTTATACACGATTCAGAAACAAATTGATGTCCGTTTCATTAAACAACGGGTGTTTTTGATTACGAATAAAAAGGAATATATTAAGCATCTGCCATATAAAAAAAAACTGTGTATTAATACCATCATAGAATATGGAGACTTCTAATAAGGGCTCCACAAAATTATGTAGTGTTTATTTTTGAGTTATTTTATTTATGTATTCAAAATACGCGTGCCTCGATATATATAAAAAGTACATTAAGAACAATGTTCGAGTTTTTTAATAATCAAATCCCTGATATGTTTACTTTCGGTATTTGGGTGCACAAACTGTTATTGTATGTAACCTTATTTTCTAGTTATTACTGTTATTTATTTATTTAAAGAATTATACCTAACAGGCATGAAGCACAACTAACAGGTAGATAGGTTGTAGTGCAAAGTATTTAATAGTTACAGAGGCGTTACAAGTAATGATGATGTGACGAAACTTAACATAACATAAAATAAAAGAAACAAGGGAATGGGAAAAGACTGAAATTAGTAATTATAGTTACTGGGGCGATGACGTTTTTACCTTGGTAATAGATTGCGAAAAAAAGTCCAAAACGTGTCGAGCACATCGAGATACCAGAAAATTATTAAATTAAATTAAACAAGTTATTTAAAATTTTAAGTAAAGTCATTAAATAATGGCAATCTATTTAATATGCGAAAGGCATTATGGGGAGTATACTCCAATTTAGACCTGACGTATCAGTTATATAATATTTTTATCACTTCCGTACTTCTAAAGTCTCTGGTGCCACGTACGATAATGGCATAGCTTTTTAATGCTTCTGCCAGTACCTTATTAATACGAGGAACTGAGGATATGTTCGAGACGAATATTGCTCCAAAATCACAAAAAATGTTGGAACGGGAGAGTTTTATCAAAAAGATGGTGTTCATATTTTATAGCTGAACTGAACTGAAGTTATTATTTACTTAAAACTACTCTAAACACTGGATTTAAAAAAAAACGTCGTCCGCATATATTAAAAACTGTACATCAAGGTCCTTACCAATGTCATTCACGAAAATGTCGAATAATAATGGTCTCGATATTGAGCCTTGAGGAACGTCTGAGGAAGCAATGTATTCATCGGAAGACAAGTATGAAAAAAATAAATTAACAGGCGATTCGGAAAGTCCAAAGGCACGGAGGTTGTGGATTAAAATTTTGTGATTTAGGCGATCAAACGCTTTTGAAAAATCAAGACATATGAAATCCATTTGAGAACCTTCATCAATAGCCTCAGAAATATACAGAATATAGTCGTTTAAAAAAACCATGTCGTTGGGGGACTATTTGGTTCTTAACAACATGAAATATTTTGTCCTAACCAAAACTTTACAGAAATTGCAAATAAGGGAAGTATCCCTACAGTCTTTTTTGTGTACGGGTATAACACTGGTCTGCAAAAAAAAATTTTTTTCTCTCCTTGTTTTCATGCATGAATCCATCTTATTTTATGCTCTAAACACGGAATCTGTTATACAAATAAGTACCACACGTAGGTTTTTAATTTAATATTTATTTCATCAAAAAACAATATTATTAAAGTATGAATTATTATAAGGAAATAAAAAAAATGTGGCGGCTTGAGTTTTACAGTAAAAAATCCTAAATTATATTAACAAAACTAATAAATATCGTCAGTTATTTCATTATGGAGTGATAGAATTCAAATTATTTAGTAGTTTTCTTCCTCTTCATTGGAGTTTGCTGCTGACCATTTTCCATTGTAGCGTTTTTCAATTTGCATTATATCGTGATGAAACCTTTCACCACGCTCATCTGATACAGCTCCAGCATGGATTTGTGACTTTCTTCAAGCCCACCTCTCAACGTTCTTGAGCAGCTATTGCAGCATACTTTTGGCAAGCAACTTTTATCTCGCTACCTCGATAGAAAATCCAAAA